TATGCTAACTGATGGTCTCTAAGTGTCTCAGCATCCATGTAGCTTACTAGTTTGTTACTGAGACAGAGGATCAGTTCAGGAAGTCCGACAGCTAAGTATTATTTCCTGAAAGAGAACAGAGGGGAGGAGATTATCAGTGAAGTGCTCAGTTAAGGAAGCACAGAATGGGGGAGTTCCTGGTGGTCCAGTAAGGCTCCATGTTCCCAATGCAGGCGGCCCCGATTCCATCCCTGGTTAGGGAACTAGATCCCACATGCCACAACTGAGGCCCAGCAAAGTCAAATAAATGAGTATTTAAAAATAAAAGGAAGCACAGAATGAAGTTTCCAGGTTGAAAGGACCCACTGGAATCCCCTACAAGTCACATCAGCATCATTGGACCTCAACAACTGTGGGTTCCAGAGGAGGAACACGGGGTCACATTGAAGAGGATCCAGGATCAGTGACTCCAGATTTCTCAGCAGCCAGCTTGCTTCTCAGAAGCAAAACACTGAGCAAGGGTCTCCAAATATGATTTTCAGCCCTTAATTGTATCTGCAGCCAAGTTATCAATCAACTTTGGGGGTATAAAAAAGACTTTCAGGCATTCAGGATACAGGAATTGAGGGAATGCATGAGAGAGACAACAGAAGTCGTGGCCCACAGCCACTTGGACAGGGCTCTCTGCTGACAGATTGTGTTTCTGGTTAACTCTTTATGTGCAGCTGTGACTTTGATCCACGTGGAAACTTTGGATGGGCCACTGAACTATGCAGTTTTCAGTTATTAAAATGGCATATACATTAACACAGAGATAAATGGGAAAGAGAAGCAGCCAGCCCATATAATACAAAGTTTCACTGTAAAGAGTTGATAAGGGATGGCAGTTGAGGGGTGGGCATGGGGCACGACGATGTACAGCCTTTGTTCTGTTTCTCCTTGGAAAGTGTTTTCTGAAGACCTCGGGCACGGCAGGCTGTGGACTGGTCTCACTGGGCCGCTCTCTGTTCTTTCCCGGCTGTTCTAGAGGTCTTGCGTTTCCTGTTCCGTCTCCACCTCGGGGCAGCTGGCAGCTCTCCCCCACCTTCAGCAGAGGAACGCAGCTTTGATGACCCGGGGTTTTCCCCCATTTAAGTAAATACTTTGCCCAGTGACCTGTGGACAACGTGTAATTCAGAAAAATTAATGTAGCCTAAGCCAGTCTCTTTCTCTTGCAGCGTGAGGTTCTTTCCTGTGGACTGTAAAGATCAACCAGTGTGAAAATGGAACAGGAATCAGCAGGCTCTTCCCGAAATACCAAACAGTCTATTATCTCAGAGGAGGTATACATTGTCTTTTTACTTCCCTTCCCCTCTGCCACGTAAAGCTGAGTTTAAAAGAAATTTACAGTTTCAAATGATTGTTTTTAATTCTTCAAGGTAGTTTTTAAACATATCTCCTGCTCCTTTTAAGGACTCGGGGCCACTTGGCTCTTGTGTGATAGCAGTGGTGTCTCTTCATTATATGTATTAGTGAAATTGAGGCTGTTTTTAAAATGGATTTCGACTGTTGATTTTTAAAACTCTCAATTTTTACTTATCTTTTTAAATTTAGTTTTTATTGAAGTATAGTTGATTTATAGGGTTGGGTTAATTTCTGCTGTATGGCAGAGTGATTTCAGTTAAATATATATATGTACACACACATCTTTTTCATATTCTCATGTGGTTTATCCCAGGATGTTGAATATAGTTCCCTGTGCTGTACAGCAGGACCTGTTGTTTCAGTTTTCATTGGAAGTTTCCCTGGATAGAAGAATAAATCATATGTGAATTTTAAGGCTTAGACATTTTGTCCTAAATATCACGTATTGGTAAACTATTTGTGGCCTCAATATGCATGCCTAAGGACAAGAAAAACCTAAGTTTGGAATATGTCTTGCATGTTATCCAGTTCACCTTCTAAAAAGTCTCTTCCTGCGGGGACCATTGCAGAGGACAGACTTTAAATCCTTCATCTTTGAAACTCTGAGCTTGACATCTTTCTGGAATTCTTTTTTATTGAAAAATATTTCTGTGTTGTCTGTGAACAGATCTGCTGAATAATTATTAGGTTGCTGCTGGCGACAAGTAAAAGATAGAATACTTAGAAAAAGGCCACTTGCTGCTTTGTGTACACAGGGAACCTTTGCACTCACTCAGTGTAGTCTGTAGGTAAGCTAGTCCTGGCAACCTAACCTCCTCAGCATCGAAGTGGAATGATGCTGGGTGCCCGTCAGGCTGGGTGGTAAACCCATGTCACTACGGGGGATGTGCTCGTCGGCCATGGTGTCCCTGGAGTCGGCTTTGCCGTGTAGGCGTTGGCAATCAGATGCCACTGGGGTCCACACCCTGAAACACACCTGTGTGGCTGGCACCAGGTCGGAGGAGAGGTTAGGAGCATCCCAGAAAGCCCCTTCCTCCTCAGACCTCCCCACGACCCAGAATTCGTGAGTTCTCATCTCTCTTCAGTTCTCAATCCTACCTCCAGAATTCCACACAACAGCAGGTCCACCATCAGAAAAACCGCTTTTACTACTTTGAACTGAAAACTTGGACAGGTTTTGAGGGGGAAAGATCATCATTGAGAGCCACAAAAAATTTGAAAGAATAAAAAAACAAAAAACAGCTCAGTTTGAAAGTTTCCCAACTTACTGTCTGATTTCCTTTTAGTTAATTTCAGAAGGAAAATGGGTCAAACTTGAAAAAACAACTTACAGAGATCCTACTGGTAAAACAAGGTAAGCTGTTTTTTTCTTTTTGAAAAATGCTCAGGATTTGGATTCTTGGGGTCCCTATTTAGTGTTTGGCATAAACATTGATCTTTTCCTCACTGTAAGCTCTGTCTTAAAGAATCTAGTTGAGCTGTTTTAATACCGTTCTCAAGTAGATTACGGTGAACCTAAAACTTTTGGGCCAAGCCTAATTTCAGCTGATAAAGCAGCAGAATAATAACAGTACAGGTTCCTCCTCTTAAACCAGTTTTTTCATCTCTGAATTAGAATGTAAGAGAAAACACTGTTGGGTTTGGGATAAAACGTGCAGGTTTATGCTTATTCATGGAAAGGTAAGTTGAGGGGGGAAAGTTTTGTAAAGCAAATACCAATTGCCATAAAGAAATGTGGGAGTAGGGAGGGAGTTCCTGGAGTCTGGCCCCTGCAGTGTCTTGATACTGTGCTGAGAAAATTATTTGCAGTCAGATCTGTGCATGAAAAAATTTCCATCATAATTATTTTAAAGGACAAATTGAACACCTTAAAAATAGCATCTAAACATCTTCAAAAGAGAAAAATTATTATTACAGTGTATATACTTGGTAAGAAACTGTACAACCGCCTCCAAAGCAGATCATGACGATAACCTGGTGGTATGAGAAAAGTTCATAAGCTGATAAGAAAATAGGAAATTGGATATATGCTTTTTTTCTAATGCTTTTTAAACTCTGCCAAATAATGTGTAAGAAAAGGCTAGAAGGAAAACTGTAGCAAAATAATAATGGCAGCTATGTGACTAGTCTTTTTTCCACCTTTCCTATTCAGCATTTTTTTAATATCTATCGATTTTTTAATAACTATCAGGAAAAATGTGTTAAAATAAACATTTACTTAGTGAAATAGAAAAAGGAGAATGAGAAAGTAGGAAAACTTTGCTAAGTTTAGTATCCAGGTTATATGATATAAATTCATTAATATAAAAACTTTTCTAAGTGATCAAATAAAAGTATAGAGTTTCTTCGTAAGGTAACAAATACACCTCTCATCAGTGTTAAAGTACATGGACTTGCCAGTGATTTTAACAACTTTTGACTATATGTACTAAAGTAGCAAAAAATAGTAACAAGGTCCAGTGTTGGAGCGCTGTGGGAAACATTAAGATGTCCATAGCACGGTCCAACCCAAAGTGAGAAAGCTGACGGCAGCTCGCCCCATCCACAGAGCAGTGAGCCGGCTGGGTAGGACTAGGCCACAGAGACGCCAGGAGGTCCAAGCCTCGGTGACATGGCCAGTGCGCTTACACTTGTGAAAACGTAGCCAGATCTTAGAGCCCAGCCTGCCCGGATCAGTTGGGTTCTCTTTCCTGTCGAGTTAAGCTTATGACACAAAACAGAGCCCTTGACACTGGCCAGTGTGAAGGGTACGTGTCGACTGTCACCCTCCCCATCCTCATTTCATCAGGGATGTGCCTTGGAATCACGTGGGACCTATTTCCAAATACTCTCAATTCGGTTTCAACCTCTGGAGAGTCTCCTCCAGCAGCGGGGAGTGGGCTCTGGGGTCTCCAGGCTCTACACTATGAGCCTATTGACAGCACATTCCTCCCCATCCGTCCATACACAGGGCTCCCTGTGGCCTCCAGAAGCTCCCATGTGAGACATTAACATCTCATACCTGATTGTCAGGCTTCAGAGCACTTAGAACAGGCTATGATTTATACATTTATAAAACACTGCATGTACAAAACAAAACTGCAGCTAGAGAATTCTTTGTCCCACTCTCATTCATGGATGAGGGTACAGAATTGATCTGGGGAGAGACATTAATTTTGTGTCCCTTTATCAGCATTCAGGACAGAGCTGAGCTCATTCTCTGGTGCCCTGCCTACCTCTTGGAGTTGGTTGCCTAGGGGGAAGAAAGTGAAACAGGCTTTCCTATAACAAACATTAAAAACAGTAACTCAACTGGAGGGCTTCCCAGGGCTCTGGTAAAGAATCTCCCTGCCAATGCAGGAGACGTGGGTTCGATTCCAGGGTCAGGAAGAACCCCTAGAGAAGGAAACGGCAGCCGACTCCAGTGTTCTTGCCTGGAGAATCCCATGGACAGAGGAGCCTGGCGGGCTACAGTCCAGAGGGTCGCAAAAGAGTCGGATACAACCTAGCGACCAGAATCAGAATTCTAAAGCTACCAGAGACTTTTAAGACAACGTACCCTGAGTTCCCTGGTTTTACAGGTGAGAAAACAGTCACCAGGAGGTCGTGACTGTGGGGTCACCTAGTGACCAAGTGGAGACACGGAGTTTCTGACTCAATTAGGTGGACAGCTCTCCTCTCCGAGTCTCTTGGAGATGACTGGAGCTCTCAGGGACGTTCTTGTTCTAGGATTTCTTACAAATAACATATCTATTTTGTGGCTCCATACCGCTCATTTACTTCATCTTAACCACTATAATGATGCTCCTCTCTCTGCTTCCCTTGTTCCTAGTGTATTTGGGATGGGACCTTCAGTACTCCCAGCTATCTTCTTCGGTCTTTAGGACTAACCCTAAGAGGCCGCGAGGACTGGGCCAACAGGTGTTGTCACTTGCGACCTGTTTCACTGACTGATCAGAGTGGCTTGTTGGTTGGCTTCTTGCTACTAACAGCAATGTTGGCAGCTGTGAGTTGTCATGGTGGTCCTGTTGATTGTCACACATTCATTTTGACATATTTGCCCTTTAGAACTTGGGTACAATACTAAAAGATCTAGTTTACAGAAAGTTTTTTTTTTTTAAACTGGATTAAATATCTGACATTTTTTCATAGAAACGTGGCAAGGTCCAAGCCTTAAGGACAACCGGATAAAAGGTATGAGGGTTACTCTGAGGAGCAGCTCTTATACTTACTCTCAAACTGACATCAGATGTGGACGCCTTTCTCCCCCTGGGTCCACTCAGATGTCTTCCTCCTTTTAAATCCAGAATTGTTTGCTTCCTTACCCTCATCTCTAACCACTGCTTTTCTCTATCAAAGGGTTGAGAGTGAGGAAGAAATTCCCTAACCTTTAAACAGCAGGATTGTGCCGGTAACTGGGTTGTCAGTACCAGATTCCCTGAGACAAATAGCTAGTCAGGAATAAGGCCGCGAGAGGGGACCAGGAACCTCTCACCCCACTTATTCTTCTGGGGAACGTTTTCCTCTTGATGGTATCTCACAAATGCAAAGCAGAGCACTCACCGAAGAGGATTAATCCCTCAATTAGTAAATAGTAAATTTCTTAAATTGAGTGTTCAGGGTCACTGGTGTTAAAATCCCCCCTGTACAGAACTGTCTCAGTGGTCCACATGATGCAGTGTCCTTTGGAATTTGCACAGGGGCGGGGTTTGCACGGACTGCTTCGTGGCCTTCAAAGCTAGATCACCAGCTGTGCTACTCACCGCAGGTCCGTGATCCAAACTGAAGTGTTTCAAGTAAATGACTTGCGAGCTGATCGGAAAGGCAGCTCAGGTGAAGAGCAGGCCCTCCACTCAGAGGCAGAGGGTTAGATGTAGTCAGCAGTGGATTTCCTAGGAAATTTTAGAAGCTATGGGAAAGCACAGTTGGCTCTTTTTTCGATACAGCTCTTTACTGTGTGGTGTTCTTGGCCGTTATCCTCAGCACATGTGCATGCTTCGAACTTGTAAGGTGCTGGTTACACACACAAAACCGACAATCTCCGCTTCAGCACTAATGCTTTCACCTTTTCTTGTCTGCCCGAACAGAACATGGGAGACCGTGAAGCGGACAACCAGGAAAGGCCAGTCGGCTGACGGTATGAGTGCAGACCTGTTAGAACTCTCCCAAAAGCAAGTCCCCACACATGACTGTGGAGCCTGGGGGTAGGACGGTTTCTTACTCTAACCACGACTTCAGAGCAGGGTTGTCTTCACATATGATCTTTCATCCTTAATTCTGGTGTTCTGTTTGCAACACTATATAACTAAATCGAGCTTTCTTTATAAGTAACTTCTGGTTCCTGTTACATAGGCTCAGAACAGTGTTTCTGAAGGGAAAATGTAATCCTGCTCAGAGCCAAACATAAGTCAGTGTAATTTGAAGCCACACGCTGTTATCTAGATGTGTTACGACTTCTAGAAATCCCCTTGTGTTCTGGACAGAGCATCTAGGTGAGAGCCTTTAGTTTGGAAATCTTACTTGGCACTACTATGTGCTTTATAGTAGTGACCACTTGCTTTGAGGAAATGAGGCAATGAATTAGGAAAAGACTATTCATTCAGTCCACCTTCCCTTCCAGGCATGAATGCTTTGGCTACAAATATCCCAGAAACAGTTCTGAAAACCACCTCTGGTCTAGGGGAAGTTGGGCAATAGGTCTTTCTCGTTATTCCCTTTTATTTTTGCACTTTGTTCTGTGTTCTGGTTTTCCTAGAAGCAGACAGAGTAGCTGCTGCAGCTGCCTTTTTCATGCTAGGAGAGTGAGAGGAGCTGAGTGGTCCCCCTGAGCAGTTGTGTTTTCCAGAATCCAGTGGCCTTTTGGTTGGGTTTGGTGTGAAGGCCAAATAACTTGGGAGAAAAGGCTTTTCTTTTATCCTAAGACAATAAAGCTCAGTGTAGCTGACATAGACTATGAACAGTGGAACTTACTCTCTTTATTCCTTAAAGGAAATCTAAGAGCATAGATCTGTGTAACTTATGTGGCCACCTGTCTGCAGCTGGGTGAGAAATGGTCTCCACAGAGGCTCATGGAGACGGAAATTTTGTCCTGGCCCCTGGGCTAAATGTTTACTTCTAGTTGTGATTTTCTTTTAAAGAAATCGTGACGATAAAAATCTTTTATTTTATAAAATAAAGTTTTATTTTATAAAAAAGAAAATTAAACAACATGGAAGGGTCATTATTTTTTCCTTGTTTTTCTTAATAACTTCCAAAGTTAACTGCCAGTATTATAGCTTAAATTAACTTCCTATTACTAATGGCAAATACAAGAAAGACTTTAGCTGCAGTGTTTCTTAAAAGGTGGGCTTTCAGTTAGACTGCTCTAAACAAAAATCACTGGCGTTGCTGACCTTCCACTGGGGTCTCCCTGGTTTTATTTCTTGCCGGCAGGTGTGGCAATCATCCCTGTGTTGCAGAGAACCCTTCACTACGAATGCATCATTCTGGTGAAGCAGTTCCGACCCCCGATGGGAGGCTACTGCCTAGAATTCCCCGCGGGTGAGTAACAGCACTGGGGGGAGAATCACCCCTGGGGGACAGTGGGACTAAGCCCAGGCAGAGCCTGAGGACAGTGGTGTTTAAATATTTAACAGCTTTTCATCTGTCCATGTGGTTTCAAGTAAAACAAAACCACTCGTGCACTGAAGTACCTCCAGGCCACACCCCAGTGATCCGCAAATCCATGGAGGTGTCACAGCTCACTTTTCCGGGCCGCCTGCCCTCTTCCTAGCAGCATTCTTTCTAGCCTCTTTGAGTCATTGCTTTTCCTTAATTTGTCAAAAGTATTTCATTTTCCATCACTCGCAATCTGCCTCTGGCAAATTTATGCAATAACTACGCCCAGCTCTTTAAAAACTGAATGTAAAAGATACCGTGATACTCCCATACCTAAGCAGGCCAAGGAAATTGTCTTAATTTCAACTCGAATATTTTTTCAGTCGTTAGAGAAGGTATCTAGAATTGAATGCAGTACATATTCTAGGACTTCATTGGGTTGTTTCCGTGTGAAGAGATGAGGTCTCATTTCTTGTTAGTGGTTTAAGTTATATATTTTCAGTCCACCTCATAATAACACATTAAGTAACAGGTTTATTTTCTTGCTCATTTCCTTGACATTTCACTGAAGAAATAACTTTAAAAGTAATTGAGGGACTTTCCGTGGTGGCCCACTGGTTAAGGATCCGCCTGCCCGTGCAGGGACAGGGCTTTAAGCCCTTCCTGGTCCAGGAAGATCCCACGTGCGATGGAGCAGCTAATCCCATGCACCACCTCTTCTGAAGCCTGTGCTCTAGAGCCCGGGAGCTGGCAACAGGAGAAGCCACTGCAATGGGAAGCCCTCGCACCGCAACTAGAGTCACCCCCAGTTGCTGCAAGTAGAGAAAGCTCAGCACTGCAGTGAAGACCTGGTGTAGCCAAAAATAGGACAAATATGCCATTTTAGTTTAAAAAAGAAAAAAAGTAATTAACCCATGTTCACTTTTTCTTAGCGTTTTAAAAATTCCTTTTAGAAAAAAGGACTTGCTACGCTGCTGCCCTCCTCACAGTGAACTAGTGGTACCTGCATCTTCCCCCACCCCCACCCCACGCCAACCCCTGGCCTTTGCTTCCGTCCTTTCCCATCGTCTCCTGCCCAGGAGTCATTTACACTGGTGATTCCCTACAGGGCCTCCATGTGGCTCTGAGGGAGGAAAGCAAGATGGGTAACACTGTCCCTACGCCTTCACTGTGGTGACGTGACTCGACCAGACCTCCGCTGGCCCGCACCTAGCCGAATCCGCCGGTGCCGGAGGTCACGCTCTATGGTAGTGTTGACGCTAAAGTGCTCACAGAAGCATCTAGGGCCAGACATGAGAAGCAGAGCCTACTAAATCTGCCCGGAGTGTTCTGCCTTTAGTTTTTTCTATAATGGATCAGAACCTGAGTCAGTTTTATCTGCACACCCACTTTTCCCAGACCTCTTGGTTCTTGGCACCTAGCTCAGCAGCAGGGGGTTCCCTGTCCCACTCTCACATGCCTGGGGCTTGCAGGTCTCATCGATGACAACGAAAGCCCAGAAGCAGCTGCTCTTCGGGAACTCGAGGAGGAAACCGGCTACAAGGGCGACGTTGCTGACTGCTCTCCAGGTACGCGCTGCTCTCACAAAACCAGCCAGGTGGTCAGATCATTCTGGGTGTTAAAGAGTTTATTCTTTGACTGTTCTCCATGTCGGAAATTCAGGTGGCTTCTATTTGGCTAATTCACTGAAAACAAAGTCTAGATGAAGGCTGGTCATCTGTAAGTGAACCCCGTCCCTCCTCCCCACCATGAGAGCACCGCTGAACAAAAATGACTTGAAATTGGAGAATTACTATGAAATTAGGGTCCCTTTCAGGGTTTCCACATTCTAAGCTTTTTTCTCATCCATATGCCACGCTTGTTACTAGGGGACTTTCTTGATGTGGTGCAAGGATTTTACGTCTAACCTCTAGGACTTACCAGACTTCCCTCAGGAACTCTGGGGAAAATCAGTACTGATTATACATGTGCTTTGCAGCCTGACAGCGCGTGTACTAAGCAAATAGGAGAAACGAGTTCTCTTACGTGACTTCCATGTTAACGATGAGTCACAAGTTGACTCTTCCTCCAGAGACAGTTCAGTGATAAATGATATCTCACTAGTATCTGGAAAAGTGACCTGCTGCCTCTCTCCCCAGCTGTGTGCATGGATCCAGGCTTGTCAAACTGTACCACACATATCGTGACCGTAACTATCAATGGAGATGACGCTGAAAATGTAAGGCCTAAGCCAAAGCCAGGTACGTGGGCACTGGCTGCGTTGACAGTGGTTGCGCTGCACTGAATATCTTTTAACATACTACTAGTTTGATTTTTGTTAATAGAATAAATGGTCTTTCACAGATGCTTCGTCGGTACACTTGGCTATTTTTTTAATTTTGTGTATTTAGCCCTTTTCTCACAGCACTTCCTTGATTTTTATGCTTTACATAAAATGTTAAATTAGGTATTTCCATGTTTTCTGTATGATGTTTATTCCCACTTAAGAGCTACGGACCTTAAATAGTGATCAGTGAAAATTTTCAGAATCACTCCGATTTCTCTCTATATATTGTAAGAATGGCAGGAATGCTATGGCACGGCACCATATTAACTATTCCTTATTGAGTTCCATGTTTAGTGAAGCTTTGGGGAAGTTCTTTGCCCCCTGTTTCTTAGCAGGCTTGGATTCAGAGGCCATAATGCCTGTCAGTTCCATGTGCTCTCCCACCCCTTAGACGGTAGTGGTGACACAGAATCACCTCATCATGTGTGAATGGAGGTCTTCCATTTCCCAGCCTTTAGTTGTTCCTCAATGTTTCCAGTTTCCCATCGCAGCTTTTAAGTGCTCAATTTTCAAACTAGTGGATGTAACATGATGAGGAAGAGTTTGGCAGTTCCTCAGAGAGTTACACATGGAATTAGCCTGTGATCCAGCAATTCCATCCGTAGGTGAATCCCCAGGAGAATCAAAAGCAGGGGCTCCAATAGACAGGTGGACATTGAGCATCACTCACAATACCCAAAAGGTGGAAACAACCCAAGTTTCCATTAACAGAAGGGTAAACAAAACGTGGCCCATTCTTACAGTGGAATATCATTCAGCCATAAAGCAGTGAAGCAGGCAGATATGTGAAGCTTGAAAGCATTGTGCTCAGTGAGATTAAGCTGGACACAGGAGGGCAAATATTGTGATTCCACTGATAAGAGATAGCTGTATATTATGATACCTACCTATTTCATAGAGACAGAAGGTGGAATCGAGGTCACCAAGGAGTGGGGGATGGGGAATTCTTGTTCAGTGGGCACCACCTTTCTGTTCTGGATGATGCAGATGTTCTCATGATTGCACAACAATGTGAATGTGTTCAGTGCCACTGAATTGGTACCTTCAAAAATGGTCAAATTGATAAGTTTTATATATATCTTAACAGTTTAAAAATATACACGTGTGTGTGTGTGTATATATATATATCACAAAATATGCTTTAAACTTGGCTATTAAAACATTTGATTTGGAAAAGAATAACATTGTACTGTTGGGATTTTTTTTTTTTAACCATGTATATAAGTGAAATCAGAGGCCCAGGTTTCTGTTAAACTCTTGTAGGCTTTTTGTCATGGCTTGCACAAAAGCCGTGCAGTGTGTGACCATGCTGGGCCTTGCTGAAATGTCCTCTTCTGTGTGTTTTCAGGAGATGGAGGTACGTCGTCACACCCCGGGGGCTGGCCTTGTGCGCCGGTGTTGCAGCGGGAGTGGCTGAGGCATCGTGAGTTGCTCGGGTGGGCTCACCTGGCGTCTGGCTCAGTTTTCACTTGTACTTTGTTTGTTTAGAATTTGTGGAAGTAATTTCCTTACCAAAGAATGACCTGCTGAATAGACTTGAGGGTAAGCACTCTTGATTATCACCTTTCTCTGTTTTTCCCACCCCTAACCCCAACAAATGGGGAACTAAACGTAATTGTTTCTTTGTTTTTCCTCATTAAAGTAAATACCTAGAAACTGCTAAGAAAACTGCAGGTGACCTATGATGTCTCCTTTCCGGGTGGCAGGGCATTTGAAAATAGCAAAACATTCCATGTCAAGTCCAAGTCACGGCCGCCGTCACCAGGAGCACAGCTCTGGGGCCCACAGGTCGGACCGGTTTGAGGCTCAGTTGACTGTATTAGTTACAACTCAGAACAGGTCCCTTATTTCTCATTAAATGGGAACAGTAAGACAGCCCCTGCCTCTTAAGAAGGCAGGAGTAAAACTAAACAGGATAATGTTGCCACACAGATGCTTGAAGGTTATGTTCTATTTTCTTTTTTTATATCAGAATAATATCCCTTTAAAAAAATTCCTTCCGTCTTGTTTCCAGCTAACTTCCCTTCCAGCCTTGTTGGGGCGGAATATTGAGGATGGTGGAGAGGAATCTGTAGGTATAGAAGTGGAGGGGCAAAGAAAGCCCCTTTACTAGCATCAGAATATAATAATCGTTATTTATTCAGCAAGTTACTTTTGGGAAGTGGGCCAGAAGGACTTTGGAGCTCAGTTTGCTATGAGGATAGCTTTCAGCGTTCCCTACCCCCACCCCACCCCCAGCCAGGACAGATGAGCAAGACAGAACCCTGTCTTTGAGGGTCAGACTGTCTCTTGAGCTTGTTCCTGAGCAAGTGGCTGGGAAACAAGGGGCAGATTGCCATCTGAGTAAAACAGAAGTCCTCACGAAAGCCCCTTGAGGTCTGATTCTGAGACCTCACTCCAGTCCCTCTGGATACACAGCTTCACCTCCACGTGAAACACGTGTCCCTGACCGTGGAGAGGATGCATGAGTCATCACCACTGGGTGGTTCAGAGCAGCAGAACCCTGTAGTGAGCCGTCCACGAGGTGCTGGATGGATCTGTAAACTTAAAAGGCTTCACTGTTGTAACATTAAAATCATCACGCGGCATATGTGCTCGTCTTTTCTTGTTCCTACTGTTCCTTGCTCTTGTCTCATGCTGGAGACGTGATTCTGCTCTTACATCCTGTATTCTTCCGCTAGAGTTCTAGAGTAAGGTCCCTGAAGGCAGAAAGTGTCTTGTCCATCGCCGCTGTCACCAGCACTTGGCACAGGAGCGGCGCGCAGTGGCTGCTCGGTGACCACTGGCTACTGGTAAGGGCATCACCATCCGTTTTCCACTTGGTTGTCTGACTTATGCTCTTCACCTCCTTTAGCTCTGATAGCTGAAGAACATCTGACGGTGGACGCCAGAGTCTATTCCTACGCTCTGGCATTGAAACACGCAAACACGAAGCCGTTTGAGGTGCCCTTCCTGAAGTTTTAAGGCCGAAGGACAGTAGCCGTCCTTTTGTAAACAGGACACCAGGCCTCCTTCACTGAGACTTCACAATCAGCTTAGTTGTAATGGAGAACTGAAATTAGCTTTTTCTTAAAATAAAACAACACAGAATGCATGTGGTGGTATGGAATTGTAATTACAGGTAAGCTGTAGCCATCATTTAAATGCCAGACTCTAGCTCATATTAACAGAGAAGAACACAAAATGCTGGTATGTTAAATCCAGCTGTTAAAAAAAAAAGCTATTATTTTTCTAATCTAATCCAAGAGATAATGAGAATAGTCCTGAATTCCAAATTAGGTCAGTTCTTCCCAGTCCCCACTAAAAACTATGTATGTAAATAACCATTTACGGTGTCAGGTTTTTTTTTTAAAGCTCTATCTGTATAGGGACTTTTTTGGCCTCTCCTGACTGAATTATCTACTATATGGAATTAATCTGCATAGCAGAGATTAAGATAAGACTAACATTTGTGGTAAGCAGATGTTTCCACTTAGATGTCCCTAACAGCCACCTACCTGCAGGAGGTTGACCAGCTCTTACATAATGAAAAATGGTAGATTCATTAATAAAAAAATATAGGGCCCTGCTCTCAAGCATGTGTATATACTTTAGAATCTCATTTCCTATCCTCACCTCAAAAAGTACTTAGTTTCTAAAAACCAAATCCCTGGCATCAAGATTTACATGATTTGGGGCACTGTCGGTGGCTCAGATGGTAAAGAATCTGCCTGCAGTGCAGGAGACCTGGATTCGATCCCTGGGTTGGGAAAATCCCCTGGAGAAGGAAATGGCAACCCACCCCAGTAGAATTGCCTGGAGAATTCCATGGACAGAGGAGCCTAGTGGGCCACAGTCCATGGGGTCGCAAAGACTCGGACTTGACTAAGCGACTTTCTTTCACTTGGTGTTGAACCATGAGTGTAGCCAACATGGTGAGCAAGTATGTATGTTCTTTAAAGGAACATACGGGGGATTGTTTCTGGCTCACATCCCACCCCCCATCCTCAAGGTACACCAGTGTCACTGGCCATCTTCTTACCTCTCAAGCTTGGCTCCTGTGTGGCCTCCAGCGTCTCCAGCATTACTGCCTCTTAGGTGCATAATTCTCTGGGTGATTCTCATTGGCTTCCCCTGAATCTTGTTTCCAGCCCTGGACCCAGGGGTCAGCCAGGCCCTTGAGAACCACATAAAATCAGGGGACTGATGACAAAAATGCCAGAATATAGTTTGTCTACAGGTTCACTGTCTTACCTAGAGGTATTTTTATGAGCAAAAATAGATGTTTATATTGTATTTCCTAAACAAGGATGGGAAGAATTGTGGAACCAGTGAACTGTATGTATCGTCTCCTCTCTGTATGAATACTGTGAAGATTTCAGCCCCAACTAGTTGCTCTAATGGTAGCTTTCCCCCGGTGCCTTTAAAAAAAGTCCTTATTTTTAATCATTGGCATCATGATTCTCCAGAGACTGTAGTCCTTTCCCGTGAGGACTCAAGGCTCTTGTCGTTACTCCTTCAAAATCAGGAGGCGCTGAGGGACACAGAAAATACGCAGGCCCAAGCACAGACCCATCTCCAAACAGGCCAACTCTTGCAAGACCACTCCCATGGCAACTGATAAAGCTACTCTAAAATGCTGATGGAGGGGAGAGACTTGTAACCCCACCTGTCCTTTATGCCTTTTCCTTAGGTCACAGTTTAGAACTGACAGCTAAATCCTAGAATATCCCCCTAACGCAGTGTATGTTCTCCGTATCAAAGGCTATGCTTTGGAAAGTTGGTCAGTTTGAGAAGTGGCAATCTGTTTTCACTGGCTGGTCCTCTTGTTTCAGTGTTTACAAGTTGAAAGTTTAGATTAAAAGCAGTATTTCCACCTTCTCTGGGGATAAACAACTGTAACACTGGGTCATATTTCCATGGTAACAGTGGTCCAAGGCCCCCAGGAGATGCTTTCCAATAGACATGGCTCCTGTTCCTATCTACCTGTATTTTCTCTGCCTCCTTGCTCTTAAAATTAGTTGGCTTTGTGATCCTCAGCTAAAGGAAATAAACTTCCTGTACTTACTAAGAAAGTCAGCCACGACAGAAAACCATACTAATGAGAAAGACATCTTTGAAAAATCACGTTTGATCTTTTTGGACAACAAAGCACAATAAATAAAAATGAATTACTTACTGTGCTGCTTCAAATACAGGCTGGGACACTGAGAACATTTTTTCCCTGTTCTTTCCAAATGTCAGTCACAAAACTAAGCGCTTTTTTGTTGGTCACTGTCCCTCCATATTTTTAGGATTAAACTAATACATTTGCAACAGATATCTCAGGATGAATTCTGTATGAATACAATGGATCTATACAAGTAATCTTAGAAATCTTTTAATATCAGACTTTATTTTTCCAACACAACTGAAAGTTTTATTAAATAAAATTTTATTGTCTACTGTTTACACTCATGTTGCTGCTGTAAAGTACAACAACATAACACAAATTCCTAGCATGAATTACTCGTTCACCCCCCACTGAACTACAGACACTGCTTGAGAATTTGGTGTTTGCTTTAGGAATTTAAGAAAAAAAAAAATTGGGGCATATTATCTTGAAGAGTATTCTCAAGTGACCTGTTGGAATTCAAAGGCATAGCCAATACTGCAAAACAGCACTGGCTGTGCCGTCCCTAGGAGCAAAGGGGAGTGGCAAACAGGAAGAGGAACTGAGCAGCTGTTCCTGGTGACAGCTGTGACTGAAAGCCTGCCTCTGCCCACCTGGACGGGGTGGCTGCTTTGCAGAGGAACAAATAAAACGGGGGAGGGGTGGGAACGTGGATACCATGAGTTAAAAAAGTATAAAAAGTAATTATATCTAAAATATAGATTAGATATAAATGCTCCAGAACTCGTTAAATAAGCTCAAAAATACTGGAAACTGGCAATTTGAACTACATTTATTTTTAAACGAGTGGGGGGAAACTTGAGTGTTTTGAATGTCGTGTGCAAAACTGATCCACGTCACCATCTCACCATCACGACTGAACATGGCAAGGCGGGTACACTGGTTTCCAGCATCACAGGCAACACTGCATGTATGTGTTTTAATGAGTAATGTAAACTTCAGTGTTAAGGCAGCTGGTACTGACGCTGCACACAGGCTCAGCGCTGCGCCCATTTCAGGAATGGGACAGTCAGCACTTGAAAACAAACTGTGAGAGGAGAAAAGGGGAGCCAGCATTATCCGACAAAAACAATGCGTCCGAATATTGTTCCTTTCACACACACAAAAAGAAACTGGAACACTTAGAAAAACAAAGCACCCATCCCGCCAACTTCAGCCTGTTCCTTAACAAATATTTCAAAATACTGATAAATAATAGTGACTGCAAGCAGAATTCCAGTGCCAGAGCCAATGGCCCCAAGGAAGTCGGCCAACACTGACAGGGCGCCGATGCATAAGCCCCCAAACGCAGCTGCTGTGGGGATGTACCTGGAAGACAAAAACCCTGAGTCAGACTGAGCAGGGAAGGGTGAGCCAACTAAAGGGAACTGTCCACAGTACTGACGGCTCGTCTGGGGCCACCCAGTTAACATGCTGATGAAAACTGATGAAGGGCACGATCTGACTCCCTTATTTCAAGAAACCAGTTAACAGCCAAGAAAGGCAATGCATGATTTTCATGCCTGAAGAGGAGAATCTGCAACTGTCACTTCAGTATTGGAATATTTAGTATTGTTTCTAAGTATTGTATAACCTCTTAGCTCCCTCTTTTAGATAAACAGTGAATTTCAAAATGTTTTCCTAAGTAGCAAATTTATGTAAGATCTGGATGATCCTCCTGAACAGTAATTGAACCTCAGCAACATGTTGGAGTCACCTGGAGAACTGTTAAAAATAATGGGACTGTGGGACCTCCCCAGTGGTCCAACAATTCAGACTTTTGTCTTCCAATGCAGGGGCATGGGTTCGATCCTGGTGGGGGAACTAAGGTCCCACAAGCCTTGGGGTGCAGCCAGAAATTTAAAAAGCAAACAAAATATAATGAGATTGTAATTAAAATACTCCAGACCAAAAAACAAAAGACGAGGGGGGACGGGGAAGATGGTAGAGGAAACAAGAATGGGAGAATGGTAACAAATAAAGCTGGATGCAGCTGGGACCCAGAGGTTCACTTTACCATTCTCTATAATCCAGTCTATGTTCTAAGTAAATAAAAAGTTTAAAATACCGATGCTTTGTCAACAAACGCTTCTGGAACATGTGGCAGTCTACATGGAAAAGAAGGAATCTGGACCCCGTTCTCACACCAAACACAAAAATTGGCTCAGAGTGGTCACAGATACTAACACAAGAGGATAAACCTTTGTGACCCTGGTTTCTTAGCTACAACACCAATAGCAGCACAAAGCAGAAAGAGAAAAACAACCTGATCAAAATTTAAAACTTGTGCATCAGAGGATGCTATCAAGAAAGTGGGAAGACAAACCATAGAATGGGACAAAATATTTGCAGATCACATACCTGACAAGACACATCCAAAATAAATTTTTTTTATCTTACAAACCCAGAAACAAAAAGATAACCCAATTAAAAATTTTAAATATGCAAAAAGATGGAAGAGACATTTCTCCAAAGAACATACTCAAATGGCTAATTAACACACGAAAAGATGCTGAACGTCATTACTCATCAGGGAGAAGCAAATCAAAACCACAATGAAAAAGAAACACCCCACACTCATACCCACTAGGTGGCTAACATCAAAACAAGAATTAGTGCTGGTGAGGACATGTTTGGAGGTGGGGGTGGGATGGAGAATGGAGCAGCCGCTGTGAAAGAGTCTGGCAGTATCTCAACATGTTCAACACACAGTTGCTACATGACCCAACAATTCCATTCAGCAAAATGAAAACATACATCCACACAAAACCTGTACAAGTATGTTCACAACAGCATTATTCATGACAGCCAAAAAAGTGGAAACAATCAAAATTTCTATCAACTGGATAAGCTGAACACAGTTATATCTATACAAGGGAATATTACTCACAAACAAAGGATGAACCCTGAAAACCTCACACTAAATCAAAGAAGATATTCACAAAGGATCACACATAACTTCATTAATATGAAATGTCCAGAACAGGCAAATCTATAGCGACTAAAGAAGAGCTGGGAGGGCTGGGCAGAAATGGGGAATAACTAAATGGGTACAAGGTTTCTTTCTGGGTGATGGAAATGTTTCTAAAATTATACTGTTATCATTACACACTCAAAAGTACACTAAAAATAAACAATCCACTAAACCATATACTTCAAATGACTACATTACAGGATATGTGAATTATATCTCAAAAAAGTTGTTAAAAAATAAAAAAACTGATGTTGGGACCCAGTGTAGACCAAGTAAATCACAACTTGTACAGGTAGGATAGCAGTAATTTTTAAGAGCTCCCAGGTGATTTTTAGTGCACCAGTCAACAATGGGAACCTCTGACCTATAGCATTTAACAGTGGGGTGAGTAGTGAAGGGAACACAACTTCAATTAAAACAATAATTTAGGTATCAATTTTGATGTGGAGAATAATTCAATTTTGCATTAAATTTTGATTCTTTTGTGATAAGCAAATATGAACTTAAAAATTATAATATCTGACAACAAATGAAAGCCAGATCAAAAACCAAGTACATGTGCACTGTACGTTAATACCCTCTCTCCCCCTCCTATCAAACACTGAGTCTAATGCTCCTTACCTATTAAGCTCATGAACCATGGAGGTATCTCTGTGGCCCCTCATTACCATTTGTTGTTCTTTAAGCTGTTTAGCTACCTGCAAAGAGAAAAGCAATTTTTAAAATCAAACTCTATTTTACTACCAGGTTCTATGAGATGTGATTTCCATATACTAACAAAGTATAAGAAGGGTGAGGTAGGCACTGTCATAACATCATTCCCTGGCAACACTGCTGCACAAGCATGTTATGTGTATCTGAAGCTGAGGTTTCCCAATCTCTTTTTTTGTCACCTCCATAAAGGGAACTAAGGAATAAGACTTTATTGGGCAGGGATGAGCTTTGGAAAGTCACAAACCACTGTAAAATCTAAGAATTTTTCACTTTCCAGGAATTAGTTTTTAACTCCTTGGGGATGACATTACCTCATGAAGAAAATATGAATTAAGAGTTTAAATTACAAAAGTAAGTGTATCAATTACCATTGACACCTAAAAATTACAAATTTTTTTCATTTTCAAATAAACCAAATACTTACATCTTTGGCTGAGGAACCAGACACCTCTATCCATGTCTTAGAAAAGAATGCACATGATCCCAACATGAAGATGATATAAACAACCACATGGACAGGATCCTCAAATATGGCGCCCATGGACTCAGGAGGAGAAAGGTAGTAACAAAGGCCACCCACTGGGTAAGAACGAGCAGGTCCGCCCCCACTGACATCCTACAGAACAAGAATAAAAAGCATAAATGGTCACATTTCCATGACTTTTCAAACTCCCCAGAAAGTATGACAATCTCTTAAGCTCAAAGCACCTACAACTTATGATTCTAGTAACTTAAGGATTTACTTTTGTATCTAAAGTATTTTCAGTCTTACAAAATTACATAGTGTCTATTACATAAAAAGCATTGCAAATATACTAACAGAAGAGCAATTTTTAAAAAAACATTGTAATACAACTATAAGAAGACGTCCCACTTATTTACATCAATCTCTGATAACATTTAGAATATGAAGTTTTCTGAATTATGTAAGAGTACACACACATTTCTTCACTACAAAGAATGGAATCAACTGAAATATTAACACAAGATTAACACATCACTGCCTAAACTCTATGATATTTATTATAAAGAAGTCTTAATAAATATCTGTAATGAAATTTTGTTATCCACACAAACATTTATGAATTCTTACAGTTAAAGAAATGGGAATAACATATTTGTTTATATTAAATGAACGTTCTGGGCATACAGGGTGGGAAAGCAATTTTGGGATGCAATGATTAAAATGTCTTGTTCCGGAGATTACAATTTCCAAATGTTTCCTTTAATTGTGCCCCTAGAATCACTAATTCCAAATCAAATGCCCTGTTTATAGACAAATTAAACTTCCCAATAATTCTCTTTAGAGAAAATCTCATTAAGATCACAATACAATCTATACAACTACTCAGTTATATAGATTTATTACTGTGAAATTATCATAGTAGTAATTACTGCCAAAGTTTATCCTGGGTGGCACTAGTGGTAAGGACCCTCCTGCAATGCAGGAGACATAATGGTACATGCATTCAATCCCTGGTCAGGAAGATCCCCTGGAGAAGGGCCTGGCAACCCATTCCAGGATTCTTGCCTGGAGAATTCCATGGACAGAGGAGCCTGGCAGGCTACAGTCCATGGGGTCGCAGAATGAGACATGACTGAAGTGACTTA